ACCTGAAGTGTTAAAAAATTAATGGACTTAATGCAAGCCATTTATAATTAAGTTGGTATTTTTCACTAGTTCTCCAACCTACTTGGTACTCTGTACTTATTAAAGTAGCAGTTGGTTTTGTGCAGCGTCTATGCTGTATCAATTAAATATTGTTTTGATAGAGTCAAGTGAAGTTATTGAGGTATTTCTTCTTGTATAAGTATAAGGTTTCAAAAATGGATTAGATTGTTTAAAAGGTGCTATTTTACAGTGCACAAAGAATGTGGCATAGAGCAAAATTGAAAAGACATGGGTGCAGCAACGGTGCTGTGACTCCAAAACGCTTTGGGCTTGGCCTTGGGAAACTCTGGACTAGGATATTTGAAATTCATGTACTAGCAGCATTGCTGGTAGGAGAGCTGGTCACCCGAAAGCTTTTTCGTTAACCCTCTTGGGACGTAACCCTCTTGACTTCTCGATGTCTAGCAGTGAATCTGACACTGACGAAAACAATCAGGAAAGTAAAGAAGACAATCAAAATGATTAAGTTTACGATAATGTTGTGAATCCTTGGATTAGGATTAGGGGTTCTGAATTGGATAGAGATGACCCCTATGAATTTTTAGAAAAAGTAGAGCCTTTAAATATGCCTCATGGGATAACCACCCCATTTGAGTACTTATGCTAATTTTTACACCATATATCATTAAAATGATTGTGAGAGAGAATAATAATAATAACTAATAAGTATGCAGATAACTTTCTCAGTAACACCCAGTTCAAATAAACCATAATTGGATGCACAATGGTGAAAAGGACCACTCTGTCTGAAGCAACCTGTCTGAAGCAACCGAAAGAAAAGTACCTCGAAAGAAAAGTACCCCGAGGGCAGAAAAAGGAGTAGAACTCTATGCCAGGGGTGTCTGAAGGGCCTCCATGGGCCTTATTTCCCAAAACACATGTGTTAGGATCCATTCATGCTTCATCCATCAAAAAATTCACATAATTTACACCGTTAAGTCATGTTTATTCTCAGTTGAAATCGACGAGTCTGTTTACATGCAGAAAAAATCATGTCGGGCGATTGTCGGGCGAGTTTTGCCACAACAATGGGTCTCTGGAGGCATTTGTCAGGAGATTAGTGAGTGTTTCATGTTTTGTGTACAAGATAGATCAGCAGTTACACATTACACTTATGCCGATAATCACAGCATACATCCTGCTGGGCACGACAGTCATGTCAGACCAATGGAGAGCATTTAATGCAATTGGCACCACTCTGGGATTGACTCCTCAAACGGTCATTCATTCTGATAACTTTTTGGATCCAAACTCAGGTGCCAGTTGCCTATACCCAAAGTAGGGATAACAATACTCGTCCACGCACAGTTCTGCGCATGTCCTAAAATGTCGAAAAAACGTTTTCTACTATATGGCGTACTGCTACACGGTATTTTTGGAAAATTGCATACTAACGTCACCTTTATTTATTAAATAATTGCTTTCCTCATCAGTGACGTATCAGTTTTTGTGTTCCGGTCATATAATTGATTAATGCTACTAGATTTTTAGTGCATCACGGACAGTATTATTATAATGACTCGGTTAGCATGGCATTCGGCATATAAATCACATAAATACTTTTTTACTAATAAAGCAACCAAAATAAGATTTATTGCTACCCAATCTACATTCATTGTATGAGGTTTTTTTTCATTTTTTGAGTTATTATCGTTGAGCTGTCTATAAAAAGTTATGCTTCCCACGAAGAAGTGGGGGGTATAAAATTGTCATTTTTTTTATTTTGATCGAGAAGCCGGAAATGGCTGCTATCTCTGTGATTCGTTAATGTTAAATCCTTAAACATCTAAATAATTATAATTATAAGTCATTTAAAATGAATAATTTTAAGAAAAGATTATATTATAACCAAACTTGAAAAGTTTATGTAGTAACCAAGGGTTGGTTTTCATTTTTAATTATTACGTTAAAAATTGTGTACGGTACCTTCATTATTGAATCAATATCTAAATTTAAAAGTTTTACGACAATAGTAATTAGTAATATTATATCATATCAATAATAATAATCGTTTTCCTCATATTAATTATTTCAGAGAATATTACTAAAATTAGGCCTACATATCAATTATAATTATAAACAACTGTTAGCCTATAATAGTCTATTTCTGGGATGATTGTCTACCTTATTTTCCATGTGTTGCTGTGTTGCTCCGGGTTGAAATGGCTAGAAAGACTTTGATATTGTATGCTTGTAATTAGTTTTTGTAGTGTTGTGTTTGTTTTAAATGTGGTGAATTATAGATATGTTTTTTGTTGACTTTGTACCGCGCTTCGAGCCTTTGGGGATGAAGCGTGTTTTTTTAAATGAACTTTATTATTATTATTATTTATTATTTTAGGCCTAAGCCTAAGCCAAGCTCAAATTCTATTACTACGACTACCACCACACTTACATGCCCAATTAAAGTTGTTTTTTTTTTTTAATTTAATGTACTTTTAGTACTTTTAGTTTTACGTGTGCACGGGTCGAGGCAACCAAGATGGCGGCCATGGAAAAATAAAATAATTCACGTTTGCTAAAATTTGGAAGAAAAATTTAAAAATGTATGAACAAATTGTCGGTAATCGATCCCTATGCCTAACCCTCACCTTAAATCGATCCCTAAGCATAACCTGATACCCTAAAAACTAGCCGTAAATCCACAAGCGAAAACACGTGGAATTTCACACTTTGAGTTTGAGGGAAGAAAACTATAAAAATTAACCCCAAAAAAAACAATAAAAAAGGGCCCCCAATAATTATAAACTGAAGAAATAATGAAAATCCAACTTACAGTTTCATGTAATACACTTTTACACACTTTATTTCAGGTTCCAAAGAAAATATAGCCACAAAATAAATAAATCTCCACACCCCACATTACAGGCACTCAAAAGATATCAAACATGGCGGAACAAAAGAAATATGATAATGAGCCAACCAATGAAAATTTTACAATTATAATAAATCAACCAATAAAATTTTAATTCCGAAAATGTAACTCTTTTAACCAAAAAATACACAAAAATAAAGGGAGTGAATCCAAAACAAAATCGTCGTGGGCCGCTAAATCTGAAATAGCCCTAACCTGAACCCTAAATTTATCCCTAAACCTAATCTGAACCCTAATTCACTGCAACTTTAATAAACACGCAAATGATGTCATCGGCTGATCAAATCTTAAGTAAAAAATTATTATACATTATTTATTATTTACCCCAGGTTAGGTTTAGGGATACCTTTTAGGGTTCATGTTAGTGTTAGGTTTAGGGACTTGATTTTTAAAAAAAAATTTTTTTTGTAGATGGTTGTAAAAAAAATTGTTTATAAAATAATTAATTCAAAAGAAAACTGTTGACAAATAATAATGTTTTCATCTTGTTGCTTATGCCATTAATGTGAATGGGATATTATTTTCATACTTATATTTATATATTTATTCCATAGAATGTAAATTAAATTAAGAATTTAGCATGGGGTACTTTTTAAAAATTCCCTTTCATTTCCTTTCAAGCATGGAAACGAATATGGCTACAAGTCATTTTACATTTTCTATTTCATGGGAAATATTTTTTTGCATGGTCATTGCCATTCAAAATTTTAAATAGGTACAAACACCAATAATAATGTTTATGGTTTGTTGAAGACTACCAACAACACAAATATTTTAATTTAGTTGAATCACTAAAATTAATTTTCATTTTTTATTTTATTTTGAAACCACCATTTTTGTTTAAATTTAACAGATCAGTCCGTCCACTGTGAAGGGATCAGATCAATTATCTATTTACAGTCAGTCTTTCCACGGAGAAATGATCGGTGATCTATTTTCAGTCCGTCCTCTGAGAAGGGATCAGCTCGATGGCCTAGTTTCGGTCCGTCCGCTGAGAACCGCTGGTGCAGCTTACCAGCACAGTGTGCCGGCACAGATTATGTGTCGAAATGATTTGTTTCGAACTTACAACAGGAGACACATTCTGTGTGTCACAGATACATGATATGGCCATGGTCTATTGGTAGCTCCAACATTCAACTGGAGACACATTCTGTTTGTCACCGATACACGATATAGCCATTGCCTATAGGTAGGTCCTACATTCAACGTCTCACAGTCTGATATTGTCTTAAGGGTAATTGTAAACAACAAAAGTAAAACAAAATAAATGAAACGTTCCTTTGCAACATTGGTTTTATTGAAACTGTTTGTATTTGATATCAGCTGGACAATCACCACTACACAATTTACTCGCGTTATTCTTGGCAAGATGGAAAGAACATTTAAACAAGGTCCTCACACAGAGACAGCACATAGACAGCACATAGACAGCACATAGACAGCACATAGACAGCACAGAGACAACTCAGAGACAGCACAGAGACAGCACATAGACAGCACAGAGACAACTCAGAGACAGCACAGAGACAACTCAGAGACAGCACAGAGACAGCACAGAGACAGCACAGAGACAGCTCAGAGACAGCACAGAGACAACTCAGAGACAGCACAGAGACAACTCAGAGACAGCACAGAGACAACTCAGAGACAGCACAGAGACAACTCAGAGACAGCACAGAGACAACTCAGAGACAGCACAGAGACAACTCAGAGACAGCACAGAGACAACTCAGAGACAGCACAGAGACAACTCAGAGACAGCACAGAGACAACTCAGAGACAGCACAGAGACAACTCAGAGACAGCACAGAGACAACTCTGAGACAGCACAGAGACAACTCTGAGACAGCACAGAGACAACTCTGAGACAGCACAGAGACAACTCTGAGACAGCACAGAGACAACTCTGAGACAGCACAGAGACAACTCTGAGACAGCACAGAGACAACTCTGAGACAGCACAGAGACAACTCTGAGACAACTCTGAGACAGCACAGAGACAACTCTGAGACAGCACAGAGACAACTCTGAGACAGTACTGAGACAACTCAAAGACAACCCTGGTTGGCACTGAACGACTGGTCCCCCCGTCCGCCTTTATAGTTTGTAACTGTGCGCCGTTGAACGGAACACCGGACATCATTGCACGTGCAGGCGTTGACCTTGACACATCGGTGTTTGTTTGGGATGTCTCGAATGAAGCACTTGACCCGTGACGTAGGACACGCGTTGTATTCTCTCAGTAGTACACGCTTAAAATAAAACAAAAATTTAAAAATTTTAAACTTTAAAAAAAATGGAAATAATTGTGTAAATAACAGTCAAGGAATGTTTGTATTCTTCTATAATAACATACACAACAGTTGGCATGATTAAGGAACTCTTGAGTCAATCGTGAATATCCCAAATTCTCTTCTTTAACTTCTCGAATTAAACAAACCACTTCTTTAAAATTAAGCTTAACTTCTTTCTGATTAAATCTATCACCTCTCAGAACAAATCTATCCGCTACCTGCTTAAATCGAAAACTTCTCTGACCTTCTGCCGATTAAATTAACATCAAATTTGCTTTACAATGAATTCAGGTAACTGTGTCTCCAAACCTTTCCACGCTCTATTTGTGCTTTGTGAAAATCGTCAAATACTGCCATGTTCTCGTGCAACTCTATCTGACTTTACTATATGTGATGTAACCAGGTCGGAGTTTAAGGCGAAAAAAAGAGCTACATTTCCCAATAAGTGACCACCTTGTTGGGATGCAGAAGTTATGGATACACAGTAAGTGACCACCTCGTTGGGATACAGAAGTTATGGATACACAGTAAGTGACCACCTTGTTGGGATGCAGAAGTTATGGATACACAGTAAGTGACCACCTTGTTGGGATGCAGAAGTTATGGATACAGTCGCCTGTAACGGATATAATTCTCCATGGTCATTGTTGTGTTGAGCCGGGGGAATCGCCCTGGTCCGGGCTGGTCATGCGAAAAGAACGGGTCCAGCTGGTGGGCACATTCTGAAGGCAGGGGGACCATCTTGGCGGTGCTGGGGAAGCTCGGGAAGCTCAGAGGAGGGTCTGGCCTGGCGTTTCGGCCAGCGCTGTGCTCCATGGGGACGTAGCCACGCACCAGCGTCACCTTCAACAAAGAGAAAACAACGTGTTTTGGGTGGATGGTCGGGAAGAGAGGCGCTTCTTGAGTGTGTAGGTGGGGAAGATGGGTGGGTGGATGGGTGGGTTTGTTTGACGACATCATGATGTTTGGCATTGTGGTGTTTGTTAGATGCTAGAAATCTCCTAATGCATGGTCCTTGGTCAGTTTTTTTAGTGCTTTTCTAACTAAAAAACAGAATCCAAGTTTTTGACATCTCAAATGACATAACATCAATCCGTCTTCGGGAAGGTGCCATCCTGACTGGCGTTGGTCCCCCCGTGTTTCTACTGAGATAACTTCATAGGTGACATCAAGTTCACACAATGACACTCTTTGGACCCTGACTTATATAATAGCATGATGGTTGGTTTGATGATATCATGATGTTTGGCATTGTGGTGTTTGTTAGATGCTAGAAATCTCCTAATGCATGGTCCTTGGTCAGTTCTTTTAGTGCTTTTCTAACTAAAAAACAGAATCCAAGTTTTTGACATCTCAAATGACATAACATCAATCCGTCTTCGGGAAGGTGCCATCCTGACTGGCGTTGGTCCCCCCGTGTTTCTACTGAGATAACTTCATAGATGACACCAAGTTCACACAATGACACTTTTTGGACCCTGACTTATATAATAGCATGATGGTCTTCTTCACACGTGGACTGATCGTTTCACCCATGGACTGATCGCTTCACCCATGGACTCACCGCTTCACCCATGGACTCACCGCTTCACCCATGGACTCACCGCTTCACCCATGGACTCACCGCTTCACTCATGGACTCACCGCTTCACCCATGGACTGACCGCAAAACCATCTAAATTAACCTGTTGCGCCAGAGGGACGAACTGTCGCTAGAAGCGCTAGGTGAACAGTTCGGCTCGTTAAGTGAACACATCAGAACATATGACATAACGTCAAGATTCTTTCAATTCTTTGTTTGTGCCTTTATGACTAGACTTCCCATTGAAATAAACGTTGGAGAAATTGAGTATGAGATTTAAAGTCGTTTTTGTACCATTTCTAAATAAAATAACATAGTCAAAATAGATGGTTCCGTATAATATAAATAACAAAGAATGACTTCGACAACTAGACATGTCATTGACTATTATTTATGTAAGGGTTTGAAAAAATATATGGTTTTTGAATGTTTGGATTTTTTTCAAAGTGTCAAGATGGAGATAATTGGTTTCAATTTTGATAAACCAATATAATTTTTGTTTTGTTCAACAACTTACCCGAACCTGTGCCCCCTTCGGTACCGAACCTGTGCTTTCTCCAGTAAAGCTTGTTGTACTTACCTGAACCTGTGCTTTCCACAGTACAGCTTGTTGTGCTTACCTGAACCTGTGCTCCCTTTGGTACAGCTTGTTGTACTTACCTGAACATGTGCTCCCTTTGGTACAGCTTGTTGTGCTTACCTGAACCTGTGCTCCCTTTGGTACAGCTTGTTGTACTTACCTGAACGTGTGCTCCCTTTGGTACAGCTTGTTGTGCTTACCTGAACCTGTGCTCCCTTTGGTACAGCTTGTTGTACTTACCTGAACCTGTGCTTTCTTTGGTACAGCTTGTTGTACTTGCCTGAACCTGTGCTCCCTTTGGTACAGCTTGTTGTACTTACCTGAACATGTGCTCCCTTTGGTACAGCTTGTTGTACTTACCTGAACCTGTGCTCCCTTTGGTACAGCTTGTTGTACTTACCTGAACGTGTGCTCCCTTTGGTACAGCTTTTTGTACTTACCTGAACATGTGCTCCCTTTGGTACAGCTTGTTGTACTTACCTGAACCTGTTCTCCCTTTGGTACAGCTTGTTGTACTTGCCTGAACCTGTGCTCCCTTTGGTACAGCTTGTTGTACTTGCCTGAACATGTGCTTTCTTTGGTAAAGCTTGTTGTACTTGCCTGAACCTGTGCTCCCTTTGGTACAGCTTGTTGTACTTACCTGAACATGTGCTCCCTTTGGTACAGCTTGTTGTACTTACCTGAACATGTGCTCCCTTTGGTACAGCTTGTTGTGCTTACCTGAACATGTGCTGCCTTTGGTACAGCTTGTTGTACTTGCCTGAACCTGTGCTCACTTTGGTACAGCTTGTTGTACTTGCCTGAACATGTGCTTTCTTTGGTAAAGCTTGTTGTACTTGCCTGAACCTGTGCTCCCTTTGGTACAGCTTGTTGTACTTACCTGAACATGTGCTCCCTTTGGTACAGCTTGTTGTACTTACCTGAACGTGTGCTCCCTTTGGTACAGCTTGTTGTACTTACCTGAACGTGTGCTCCCTTTGGTACAGCTTGTTGTACTTACCTGAACCTGTGCTCCCTTTGGTACAGCTTGTTGTACTTACCTGAACCTGTGCTCCCTTTGGTACAGCTTGTTGTACTTACCTGAACGTGTGCTCCCTTTGGTACAGCTTGTTGTACTTACCTGAACGTGTGCTCCCTTTGGTACAGCTTGTTGTACTTACCTGAACGTGTGCTCCCTTTGGTACAGCTTGTTGTACTTACCTGAACGTGTGCTCCCTTTGGTACAGCTTGTTGTACTTACCTGAACGTGTGCTCCCTTTGGTACAGCTTGTTGTACTTACCTGAACGTGTGCTCCCTTTGGTACAGCTTGTTGTACTTACCTGAACGTGTGCTCCCTTTGGTACAGCTTGTTGTACTTACCTGAACGTGTGCTCCCTTTGGTACAGCTTGTTGTACTTACCTGAACCTGTTCTCCCTTTGGTACAGCTTGTTGTTCTTACCTGAACCTGTTCTCCCTTTGGTACAGCTTGTTGTACTTACCTGAACGTGTGTTCCCTTTGGTACAGCTTTTTGTACTTGCCTGAACCTGTTCTCCCTTTGGTACAGCTTGTTGTACTTACCTGAACATGTGCTCCCTTTGGTACAGCTTTGCAGTCACCGTCAATGTGGATGGAAATGTTTCCCTGTGCGTCGATCTCGGCTTTTGTCGGCAACTCCACCGGAACACTTCGGTGAGTTGGGGGCTGATGAGTGGTAAAAGGAGAGGTCAAAACACTTGAGAATCGTGTAATCATTTCTTGTACTCTAAAGATCAAAATGACGAACTTATCTCTGAGATCAAGTATTTGTTATGTACTTCTAAAACCGTATCCATTTCTGAATGTAATCAATTTAATTTCATTTTTAAAACAAATGGGTCTTAAATAATTTTAATACATTGATAAAATATCATTGGTAGCAATGGACCAAATTGTTTTTTAAAAAAATCAACAATCGTCACAAATTAATCACAAAGAAAATTCAAAACGTTTTAACATGATCGAGAACAATTTATTCACATTGTGCTGATAGCAATACGGCAGTCTTTTAGTTTAAAAGCCTAGGTTAACTTGGACATAAAAAGGGTTTTCATCATGCTTTTCGTGAGGGCTCTGTGCGCTGTGCCTAATGAAAACGATAGCATTGGGGGGGTGCTGGTACACCACTACTGTGTCTCACCTGGTAGTCCGCTATGGGTGGCAGCGGCGACAGGTGGTGAAGCACGAATTCCCGCCCCGGTTTGCCGGACTCCCCGATCTTGTACTTCTGACTGTAAGGAAGTTCCCAATTCAGCGGGCGCTGCGGGACCGCCGGGCGCGGCTCTGCGACTCCGGAGAGGCGTGGGACCGGCGGTTTCTTGGGCAAGGTCGGGGGTGACGGAGGTGGAACCCATGGCTTTGTTTTATACAACGGTGACGTGTACGGCTTGCTGGTCCCCGGGGGTGGGGCCTGGAGGGGGGGCGGAAGAGAAATGTTGGAAGCAATGAGTTGATGTTAAGGCGAGATTCTTCATACGATGAACTTTCCCACCATTTTCTAGATTCTAAACACACCCTTTCTAAAGTAGGAAAGTACATTCAAGCTAATTTTCTTCATTTATTTATTTATTTATTTAGGCATTTTTATATAGCGCTTATCATAAAGCTCTAAGCGCTTTACAATTATTAAAACATGTGAACTAAGTAAAATAAAAATGAGACACTAGGATAGTAACTACTATTCTATAGAAACAATGAAAATGGCATCAATAACTTTGAGAAATATGAAACTTTGGAAATGATCTTGTGACTTACTAGAGGGAGCAACATTTTAATGACAGCTAGGATGTCTGTTGACATTATTTGGCGTAATCTCAGGATTTCTAAATGTCACATTATAACACGTGACATAAGGATGGGGATACCTGATAATCCCCTGCTCGCCGGGTATATCACATATAACGTACCTCATAATATAAGAACAGGTAAACTTAGTAATTTGTTTACCCCGGTATATAAACAGTGTGGCATACTAAAGGTAATTTACTTACCCCGGTATATTTGACTGGAGGTTTTGGCTTTTCATAAGTCTTCAGGGGAGGCAACTTCTTGGTGTAAGGCGGTACGTATCTTGTCGGGCTTGGTTCTGGGCCCTGGCCTGTTACTACAACAAACATTGACACAAATCATTGACCTGTCTTGAGGGATTGTTCTGTTACTAGAACATTGACTTGTCTTTGGGGATTGTTCTGTTACAAATCATTGACTTGCCTTCGGGGATTGTTCTGTTGCTAGAACATTGACTTGTCTTTGGGGAATATTCTGTTACAAATCATTGACTTGTCTTTGAGGATTGTTCTGTTACAAATCATTGACTTGTCTTTGGTGATTGTTCTGTTATAAATCATTGACTTGTCTTTGGGGATTGTTCTGTTACAAATCATTAAGTTGTCTTTGGGGATTATTCTGTTACGACAACAAACATCGAAACACATCATTCCCCAAGTATTCGACCATTCCAGTAACAGCTGGTTTATACCATGTCAGATTATATTACAAAAAGTTAAACCTGTTTAGTGTATAACACAAACCTACCAGGTTCAGGTTTTTTCTTTGGCTCTGCTTCCCCGTCAGTTTCCGGTTCCGTTTCACCTTCTGTTTCCGCTTCCGTTTCTCCGCCAGTTTCCGCTTCCGTTTCTGTTTCGGTTTCCGGTGGAGGCGGAGCTTCATCTTCGACGACTTTTTTCTTTTTCTTCTTCTTCTTCTTTTTCTTCTTCTTCTTTTTCTTTATTATAACCTGGGGAAGTCATTGACACATTAAGACAATGTATCTACATCAAGAACTTAATTAAATTGAGTGGAACCTTTTGTTGATGTTTTCCCTGAAGCTGCTTGTCTCATCTGGTTCCCATTTTAAAAACCAAAAATTTCTGTTTTTATGTATTTACTCTAGGCAGCTCCAATGGTTCATGGAAATGGACATGATATGACGGCTTGAGAAGCCTTCACGCATCTTCAAGATGCGGTGTGAATCTGCCTGTTGTGTGATTGGGTGTGGATCCTTCCTTAGCCACAGATTAGCCCCCTCCTCTGAGAACCCCTGGAGACTTTCTTTAACCGGACATAAGACCAAAACTAAGACCATCGGTGAACGCTCCTTCTACTTCCATGGGCCCACGTACTGGAACCAGCTCCCCTTCCATATCCGTCATTGTGAAACCTCGTCCACTTTTAAAAAGTCCCTTAAAACCCATCTGTTTAGGTCCGCCTATGACCTGTGATGCACCCTCCTTGCCCTGCCTCATTTTCTGTCTCGGGTTAATCCTGTAATATAGGCCAAAACGTGCCAAAGTGTCTTCGTTTTATAGCCATTTTAATTGTTTCTATAGTATAGTAGTTACTATCCTAATGTCTCTTTTTTTTTTAAATTTTAGTTAGTTTACATGTTTTTAATAATTGTAAAGCGCTTAGAGCTTTAAGGTAAGCGCTATATAAAAATGCCTAAATAAATAAATAAATAAGACCCATTTTAGAGCCTCCGGAGAAATCCTTAGCTACAGTTTACGCCATGCGGAGAACCTCTGAAGCCTTGATGAGCTACAGGTCGTACTAAACTGAGAACCACCGAGGTGTTTGCGCGTGCGATGCCTGTTATTGATTACTATCAAGAATGATGACAGGCGCCCTTCTAGGTCTGCACAAATTCAACAATTCCATGCCACCCAATGTTGGCTCAATCTCCACAATAACCTTTCAATTGTTGGCCGTAAATATGGTGACAATTTGTTGATTCCTTTTTCCCAATGAGCCACCGAGCATTGAGTTATGGTATTAAAAAAAACAGAGAGAAGGGCGTGAGTGTGATTGTTTGCAATGAGCAAATGTGAGTCTTTTCTGTCATGACCCCCGAGGCGGGTAGAGCTGATTGCTTCTCGCATGACCCCCGAGGCGGGTAGAGCTGATTGCTTCTGTCGGGACGGATGACCTGATTTAAGAAGGCACAGTAAAACATCCAAGACACATGACATAGGGCTGAGGCTGTGTGCTTGGGGTATGGAGCACGGATTTTGAGAGTCATTGAGTTGACGAAAGAGAACCACAGTTTAGGAGTAGGGGTTGGGTCATGGATAAACTTTGACAGCGCCATAGGGAAAGGGGTCAAGGTCGTCGTGCATCATGGTTGTGAGTCTGGTTTTGATATAATATATCATGGTTATGATACTGGTTTTCATGTCAATCATGGTTGGGAGTATGGTTTTGATGTACATCATGGTTATGAGACTGGTTTTCATGTCAATCATGGTTGTGAGTCTGGTTTTGGTGTGGATCATGGTTATGAGAATTGTTTTCATGTCAATCATGGTTGTGAGTATGGTTTTGGTGTGGATCATGGTTATGAGACTGGTTTTGATGTCCATCATAATTGTGAGTCTGATTTTGATGTCAATCATGGTTGTGAGTCTGATTTTGATGTCAATCATGGTTGTGAGTATGGTTTTGATGTGCATCATGGTTATGAGACTGGTTTTCATGTCAATCATGGTTGTGAGTATGATTTTGATGTGGATCATGGTTATGAGACTGGTTTTCATGTCAATCATGGTTGTGAGTCTGGTTTTGGTGTGGATCATGGTTATGAGACTGGTTTTCATGTCAATCATGGTTGTGAGTATGGTTTTTATGTACATCATGGTTATGAGTCTGGTTTTCATGTCAATCATGGTTGTGAGTATGATTTTGATGTGCATCATGGTTATGAGACTGGTTTTCATGTCAATCATGGTTGTGAGTATGGTTTTGATGTGCATCATGGTTATGAGACTGGTTTTCATGTCAATCATGGTTGTGAGTATGATTTTGATGTGCATCATGGTTATGAGACTGGTTTTCATGTCAATCATGGTTGGGAGTATGATTTTGATGTGCATCATGGTTATGAGACTTGTTTTCATGTCAATCATGGTTGGGAGTATGATTTTGGTGTGGATCATGGTTATGAGACTGGTTTTCATGTCAATCATGGTTGGGAGTATGGTTTTGGTGTGGATCATGGTTATGAGACTGGTTTTCATGTCAATCATGGTTGTGAGTATGATTTTGATGTCCATCATAATTGTGAGTCTGATTTTGATGTCAATCATGGTTGTGAGTATGGTTTTGATGTGCATCATGGTTAAGAGACTGGTTTTCATGTCAATCATGGTTGTGAGTATGATTTTGATGTGGATCATGGTTATGAGACTGGTTTTCATGTCAATCATGGTTGTGAGTCTGGTTTTGGTGTGGATCATGGTTATGAGACTGGTTTTCATGTCAATCATGGTTGTGAGTATGGTTTTTATGTACATCATGGTTATGAGTCTGGTTTTCATGTCAATCATGGTTGTGAGTATGATTTTGATGTGCATCATGGTTATGAGACTGGTTTTCATGTCAATCATGGTTGTGAGTATGGTTTTGATGTGCATCATGGTTATGAGACTGGTTTTCATGTCAATCATGGTTGTGAGTATGGTTTTGATGTGCATCATGGTTATGAGACTGGTTTTCATGTCAATCATGGTTGTGAGTCTGGTTTTGGTGTGCATCATGGTTATGAGACTGGTTTTCATGTCAATCATGGTTGTGAGTATGATTTTGATGTGCATCATGGTTATGAGACTGGTTTTCATGTCAATCATGGTTGTGAGTATGGTTTTGATGTGCATCATGGTTATGAGACTGGTTTTCATGTCAATCATGGTTGTGAGTCTGGTTTTGGTGTGCATCATGGTTATGAGACTGGTTTTCATGTCAATCATGGTTGTGAGTATGATTTTGATGTGCATCATGGTTATGAGACTTGTTTTCATGTCAATCATGGTTGGGAGTATGATTTTGATGTGCATCATGGTTATGAGACTGGTTTTCATGTCAATCATGGTTGGGAGTATGATTTTGGTGTGCATCATGGTTTTGGGACTGGTTTTCATGTCAATCATGGTTGGGAGTATGGTTTTGGTGTGGATCATGGTTATGAGACTGGTTTTCATGTCAATCATGGTTGTGAGTATGGTTTTGGTGTGGATCATGGTTATGAGACTGGTTTTCATGTCAATCATGGTTGGGAGTATGGTTTTGATGTCAATAAACGTTATAAATCCTTTAGCTTTTTCAAAATCATTCGTATTTTTCATAGTAAGGATGTCAGGGTAATGAAATATAGCTGTAGTAAAAATGTAAGAAGTAATTAAATTTTGCCATCACCAGGATGACAAAGTAATGAACTGTTGCTCCAACGTGGCTGAAATAATACAGGTTTATCTTTAAATCAAAAGATCACTTTCAGTATGAGCATGCACTCAGCATGTGTTTGATGTTTGTCAGATGAAACAGATGAAAAAAGTGAGACAGATGAGACAGGTGAGACAGATGAAACAGATGAGACGGATGAAACAGGTGAGACAGATGAAACAAGTGAGATAGATGAGACAGGTGAGACAGATGAAACAGATGAAACAGATGAAACAATTGAAACAGGCGAGACAGATGAAACAGATGAGACAGATGAAACAGATGAAACAGGTGAGACAGATCAAACAAGTGAGACAAATGAGACGGTGAAACAGGTGAAACAGGTGAAACAGGTGAAACAGATGAAACTGATGAGATGGATGAAAAAGGTGAGACAGATGAAAGAGATGAGACAGATGAAACAGATGAAACAGGTTAGACAGATGAAACAGATGAGACAGATGAAACAGGTGAGACAGATGAAACAGGTGAGACGGATGAAACAGATGAGACAGGTGAAACAGGCGAGACAGATGAAACAGTTGAGACAGCTGAAATAGATGAGACAGGTGAAACAGGTAAGACTGATGAAACAGGTGAGACAGATAAAACGGGTGAGACATATGAAAAAGGTGAGACAGATGAAACAGGTGAGACAGATCAAACAGGTGAGATAGATGAAACAGATGAAACGGGTGAGACAGATGAAACAGGTGAGACAGATGAAACAGATGAGACAGGTGAAATAGGTGAGACAGATGAAACATGTGAGACAGATGAAACAGATGAGACAGGTGAAACAGGTGAGACAGATGAAACAGGTGAGACAGATAAAACAGGTGAGATTGAAGCAGATGAGACAGATGAAAGAGATGAAACAGATGAAACAGGTTAGACAGATGAAACAGGTGAGACAAGTGAGACAGATGAAACATGTGAGACAGTTGAGACAGATGAAACAGATGAGACAGGTTAGACAGATGAGACAGGTGAGACAGATGAGACAGGCGAGGCATATGAAACAGGTGAGACAGATGATACAACCAAAACGATTCAGCAAATGATTACGTCACGATAATAAGACAACGAGACTTTTAACCCAAGTTTGACCAACTCACAAAAGAATTTGTCATTCACTTCAACTGAGCATTTTCTGACACAGACACTAAACAGGATATCAATCACCAAACTGGGCCGACCTGTTTCTATTTACCTTGTTCTTCTTACAAGCAAACCAACAATGACACATCATCTTCATAAAGACACCATCTTCATAAAAGGCACCATCTTCATAACAACACCATCTTCATAGCGAGGCCATCTTCATAAAGACTTTCATTCAACAAAAGCTAGACAACACTTTGAACAGCTTTTCAGTTTCATATTTACGAAAAGTAATCGATAAATCACTTTGCAGGGGACGCTGCTCCAGATATGGAAGTCGCAAGAAAATTGTCGTCATTGAACGACATTCA